GCCCGCACCACGCTCAGCCAGTGAGCGGGAACCGGTCTCCACATGGGATCTGAACCCTCGGTGGGAGCACCGCCGCGCTCTCAAGCGGCGCACTCTCCGGTGTGCCACCGGGCCGGCCCTCAATATTATTTTTTCAATTTTTTAAGGGGTTTTCTCTTAAAGTACACATAAATTACTGTATTTATAACTAAGCTATTTAGATTGATTTACCTGTTTGAAAAGGAATTTGTTGCAGTACCATGCTGAGACAGTATGATACAATACTGAGGTACTGTAAATAGTTTTATAGTTTTCCTATTGAGTTTTTAGAAGTAATTTTGTAGGACTGTAGGCTAGATATTAACAATTTTAAATTAATTTAAAACATACATTTTAATTAAATTTAGAATTTAAAAAAATTGCAAGATTTTCCCCCCTCATTGGGCTTTTATATTTCAAATGGGAACTCAGCTTTAATTTTTTTTTTTTTAAATAAGCCAGTAGAAATAGTATTTCATTTATAGGGATTTTCTTTTTTTTTGTAGTACAGCTTTTCAGGGATACCTGTTTTATTGATCAAATCTTGATATCTTTCTCATTACTTTTATTTAAAGATGACCAGTAAGGGGATCTTAACCCTTGACTTGGTGTTGTCAGCACCACGCTTTATAGAAGTTTTAGCCAATACAAGGCAATAGAAAAATTTGAAGTGTAAATATTTATTTATTTTTTATTTATTTATTTATTTATTTAAAGATGACCAGTAAGGGGATCTCAACCCTTGACTTGGTGTTGTCAGCACCACGCTCTCCCAAGTGAGCTAACCGGCCATCGCTATGTAGGGATCCGAACCCGTGGCCTTGGTGTTAATCAGCACCACACTCTCCCAAGTGAGCCACGGGCCAGCACGCATTACTTTTATTTTTTACTTCACTTTCATCTTTTCCATATCTTGCAGTAATTAAGCATACAGCCAGATAATAAGGATTTTAATTAACCCAAAAATTTTTTCAAGGATTTTTTAAAACTTCTTCATATTGCACTACATATGGACTTGATTTGAATTTAACTGATACTGAGGTTGGTTAGCTAGAAATCCAGCACTGGGCTTAAGTTTCATAGTTCTGTTTTCATTTTTCAAAAGCTCTAAGACAGTATGATTAAATTGGAAAAGATAGAAAAAATTTGGTTTTCATCTGAACTGAATATTGAAGTATCTTTTATTAGAATTTTGGTTATTGGAATTTTATCAGAAAAACTTTTTTAAAAAGTTATTAGTTAGCTGAACTTTTTATTGTTAACTCAGAATGAAAATAGGCTTTTCATTTGCCTTATTTTCTAGTGAATAATACTATGATTTTAAATAGTAGTAGTAGAAATCATGCATTTATATCAGTATGCTTGCAGTTTATTACTAGTAGAATAATAATATGACTGTCAATCTATCTGTGAACAGACTTAAAAGTGAAAATTTCTCATTTTAGGAATAAAGGAAAGAGCTTTTGATGGTCTTAATAATAATAAGGCCAAATATTTCATGTGAAGACTGCAAATAGCCCTGAGAAAAGCAAATTGCTGAATATGTATATCATGGGAGAATACTGCCACCTTGTGTATATGTGATGCTATTTTATGAGTATTTTCTTTTGTTACAACAGCTAATTCAATGCTTTTTCACCATTTGGCACTGAGGTCAGATGTGTAAATGTGTAAAACATTTTTTTTTCCTTAATGCAGTAAAATCAAGCCAACTTTTTCTTTTTTGGGGGGGAGGAAGAGGGGTCTTGTGTTTTGAAAGTGTTAAATTTGTTGTAGTTAGCTCAAAGAATTGGAATGTCTGAGAGATCATACTTGTTAGTTGATCTTGAGTTAGTTGACAGTCGCATCCTTTTATTTGAATCTTATGGAAAGTTGGTGATCCTTTGGTCATTCTTCATTTTAGTTTTTGAAGTGCTCTGGTGTTATTCTGAATGCCAGAATTTATTACACTATAGGAGGTATAGGGCAGGCTTTTGGCCTACTGACACCACCGTATTCCTTGATTTTTAAATATTTTTTTCAGGTCAAATGCAGAAGAATGACTACAATAATAAATGTAATAGTGCTCTGAAAAATATTGTTGTGATGGTAAAAGTGTACCTTTAAATCGTTTTAGTTACCTGAGGGCATGTCTTAGTTTGTTTCAGGCATTACTGCTCTGAAGAGGAAGAACCATGAGATTGGGAGTTATCCTTTGGAGCTGTGTGACCATTGGTGCTTCTCTGGGAACAGTTTTTTAATCTGAAAAATGAGCAGTTGAACTGGGTGGTTTCTAAGGATCTTTTTTGCTTTCTTTTAAAGCTTACTGTAAATTTAAAATGTGAATGCTGTAATGCCCTTCAATGTAGTTACACTCTTCTATATAAGAAGTTCTTTTAAAATTTAATATAATCTAATGGTTGTGTTTAACTATCATAGTATATATTAGTAATTTGAGGGGTGCGTGTGTATAAAAGTTTAAAACCAGAAGCCTGGGAAATTTACCTACTTTTTATTTAACACATGGGATACTTGAAAATATCATAAGATTGTTTTGGGGGTAATGCAGTTTTAATTATACACTATTTAAGCGATGTAATACTGTTTTGTGCACAAATGCCTACATTTCAACTTCTGGAAAGACTCCAAAAGTTGATATAAATATAGTAAAGCCCATATCATAAGGAAGGATTTTCTGATTGGGATGAAAAGAGAGAAAAAGGTACATTAGCTTACAATTAAAAACTTAGAAATTCTTTAGGATGTTACCCAACTTGAAAATATAAGTCCAAAGATTCTTCAGTATGTAAGTCTCTTCATTTTATAGTATATAGCAGCAGATCTGTCTTGATCATCTTAATCACTTTCTCATGAAGTGCTAAGAGTGAGCCCATGTGATCATGTTTAGCTTTTTACTTTGGGGCTATCTGGGAATAATAATATTAGATTCTAGGGATAATTTTAAGGAAGATGATTCTCAAGCTATGTAAACATGCCAAATTCAACATCTGTATTGAAATGACTTCCCAGTGCCTGGTGGTTGTGATACTAAAGCAAAATGACTATGTTGGTATTTTTGTATTTATTTTGTGTAATACCAAGCTACTATTTTGTAGAATACAGAATTTATGATAAATGTTTAAATTTGCTAATTAATAAAATGCATTTACGTATAAAAGTCTATGCACATATTATAAAACATTAAAGACGCTAATATTAAAATATACATTATCCTTCTAATGTAAATATTATGGAAATATAATAAGAAAATATTAAGTAAATTGCACTTCATAGAAGTGAAGAGGATTTAATCGTGAAAAAAGCAAAGTGGAAAATAACCTAATCTGTTTTTAGAAAGTATAATCTTAAGAAAACTAGAGTGGCAGTGGTGACTTTAATCATGAAGTTTTTCTGTAGAGATTTTCCCAAAAACTCTTCCCAAAACCTCCCCCTACAATGAGGTAGGAATGTTGTAGGATTAAAGGAAAATATTAGGCATTGTTGACCCATCTACAAATCCATCTCTGGATTGATACTCTTGAGGTATTTTGATCAGTTTGTTTTTATATATTAACTGTTGTTTTTATTGATAACAAACTAATTTTAAAGGGAGCATTCCTAGTTTCTTTGTCTCAATTTTATGTATAGATGAAGATTTCAATACACAATTACCTGTACCTTGTTCAGTTATGTTCATATTCTACTCGTTTGAAAAGCCTTTTGAACTAAAGCAAGAATAATGATGGTAATAAAAGTGTTTGCTTGTTAGTTGTCATTTTCTTCTTCCTTGAGAAATATGGAGAATTGGAAGAACACTTTCTAATGAGTGCATCTTTGTTTATTTTGAAATTTTGATATAGCAAATAATTTTCTGGATAAAATTTTTGTCCGTTTATTTTCATCATAATCTGCATAGTTGAATTTGCAGTAAGATTCACCACCAGTTTATTTCAGCAGCCAAGATCACACTAGGCCAGCACGCTAAAACTTGTGTTAAAAACTGACATAGTACTTGAGTGTAACTGCTTATTGTGTTTTTCACAGGCCCAGCCCTATCTATTTTTATGTGATTTGCACAGGCCCAGCCCCATCTATTTTTATGTGATATACAAAATCAATTCATTGATTTTGATGAAAATGATTTTTAAAACTATGAAATACTGGTATTTTGGAAATTAAAAATAGCATGTTGTTTTGGAATACTGAAAACTGGTATAGTCATTAACTATTACATGTAGGTAAAGGTAGAGATTGGTAGTTACATGAAGTTTAGGGATTTAGAATGTTTGTAAACCCAGCACCGAAATTTTTTACTTTATTAAAATATTTTTTACTTCATTGATTTTGATGAAAATGATTTTTAAAACTATGAAATACTGGTATTTTGGAAATTAAAAATAGCATGTTGTTTTGGAATACTGAAAACTGGTATAGTCATTAACTATTACATGTAGGTAAAGGTAGAGATTGGTAGTTACATGAAGTTTAGGGATTTAGAATGTTTGTAAACCCAGCACCGAAATTTTTTACTTTATTAAAATATCGACTACTAGTTAACCCACCTTGTAGATTGTCTTTTTGACATAGCATGAGATTAATAATTGTGATTTTTTTCTAATACATGCACAACTTTGTTTCCAGTTCAAGTGAATTGTTAGTTTTTATTGCAAAATTTTTTAGGCCATCTTACAATGTAAATTCAGTAACATGAACAGAAGTATTTCATACCTTTTTTATTTTTTTTTCATTCTTCTTCCTTCAAATGCATTAAATTTGTTTATTGTAGCCCTCTGTGAAAGAGGCACTGCTCATCAGAGCGATTCTCTATTTGGAAATAATATATAGACATTTTAATATGTGCTCATTTTATTTAAACTAATGCAATGTTAATGAGCATAAGGTCTCCTTTTTAATGATTGTGAAAGTTAATAGTCAATGATATCCTGTTCACTTTTGAGATGTTTAGTGCAGGTCTCATTTATATATTTTTTTGTTCTCATTAGGCAAGAAGTTATGAAGTGGAATGGATGGGGATATAATGATTCCAAGTTCTTCTTCAATAAGAAGGGCCAAGTTGAGTTGACTGGGAAAAGGTAATGCTGGTTTGTTTATTCCTTTTTTTGTTCCTTCTTTTCCTCTCTCTACAAAAAATTTTAAACATTCATAAAAATAGAGATGATAATATAATGATTCCTCCTCCAATTAAGAAATTATCAACATTTTGCTGTAATTGTTTTTTTCCTGCAGTATTTCAAATTCTGATATTGTCATGTCACCTCTAAATATTTATGCATGCATCTCCTAAAAAGTAAGGACCTAATATAACTAATCATATAATACCATTATTATACTTCTAAAATAACAAAAATTTTATAAAATCTCATTATCTAGTCCATATTCACATTCACCCAGTTGTCTCCCAAATGCCTTTTATAAGTAGTTTATTGAATCAGGATCCAAACAAGGTAAATGGCCACCCCACCACCCAATCCCCATGCCTGTTGATTGGTTGAAAGTAACTTTATATTTAAGTTTGATAGTTTACATCTGAGTGTGGGTTATTATGAAAGGTGAATAATTTTAGGTCTGTGTGACTATAAATAGTATTTTAAAAATTACTTTCTGTGGTATATTAGGGAAGAAGTAATGAAGAAAGATCAGTCATTTGTGTGACAGCTTTCACATTTTTGAAAAGTTTTTGGTAATATATTGATAAGGATTATATAGGATATGTGCTCAATTTTACCTCAGTAAAACTGGAAAAATAATAGTAAGGAATTCTGAAGGATATTTGTATTGTCACAGTTTGTTCCAGATGTGGACAGAATTGTAAAAATGAATTCTTAGTTGACTTTAAGCAATACTGCCGCTGCCAAAACTGTATTTTTGTTTTGTCTATTGAATTTTGATATAACTTTTGAAAGGGCAGTGAGTACAAATATATAATACTTGAATGCTGGCTGTAAAAAAATAAATTAAAAATTAAGACTAAGTAAGAAATTGGACCAGATAAAATATGTATGAGTCTATTTCAATATTGCACTTTGATTTAATTTCTATTGGACATTAATATGCTTAGATTAATGTTTTTAAGACATATGTCAATGGAATAATTGTCAGCGAGGCAATATATTTTATTTTTTTGGAGAAGTTATTTTTCTTTTTTTTTTTTTAAATATAATTGTTCCATTTTTCTGACTTAACATGTATTTTGTACCTGAAATAAGACCTCAGGAGTAGTAATTAGAAACTAATTTTAATTCAGGTTTGAAGGTGTACATTTGACAATAGTTTTTTTAATAGGAAAAATAAATATTATCTTTGTTCTCGTTCTCATTCTTACGTGTGACTAGGCAGCATGCAGATGGAGGCTTAGCTGAGAAATTGTATAATTCAGGTGGAAGGGATTCCTAATTAAAATTAAATTTATCAGTGTTCTGAATGCTGAATCTTCTATGTTTTAAATAGAAAAATGGCTAATACAGCAGAAACTTATTTATGTAGAGATTGGCTTTTCAAAATATTCTGGAGAAAAACATGAGTCTTCTGGACTTAGAAAACCAACTTTCTCTGCTCTCTGACACTGTCTTGATTTCTCTTCCTTTTTCACTCTCTTTCTTTGTATCTTGAAGGTACACCATTTCTGCTTTATGGAAGGGGGCAGATAGTCACTTGTATTTCTTCACAGTGCTATTGAAAACATAAGCCATCTGTAGTCTTTTGTAGAGTACTGTGGGCTATATGTTGTGGTTTGTTAGAAGTATGTATGTGTGTGTGTAAAATGAATGATTAGTCAGAAAACATCACAGGTAACTATACCTGAGTGGGTCCCATGTTTTAGAATCTGATTCTTATTTTGGATATTCTGGCACATTGTCAATTTTCCCAGGGGAGATAAGGCTGTAGCCGTCTGGCACATGTGCCATGCTCATAAGAGACTGATTTTAAAAATTAGAACCCTAGTATATTCATTTATGGTTAGATTACTCCTTTTTCAGGGTATGGAATACTTATTAGTGCCCTTCCTCATATTAAGATACCTATAGAATAAAATTTGCAATTCAGATGTTGTTTGAAAAGCATGAATTCAGAGCAAAGGGGATTTGATGATCATAGAGATTTTTATCCAGTCTGTAATAGAACCAGAGAATTTATCTGTTGGTTTAAGATTGCTGCTGCTGCCACCCTTACCAGAATGGATTCTGTAAAGGCGTTATTTCTTTGTATCATTGACTCCTGAGTCACTCTAGTGGTGGGGAGAGAGAGTAAGGGTGCATCTTTCTTGAAGAGGCTGCAAAGGAGACCAGGAAAGTGAATAGCTGGCATATTCACTTCAGTGGAAAGTAGTTTTTTTTGCCTCACTCCAAGACTCATACAAAGGGTAATTCTCCAAATTAGAAATAGGATGTAGATGCACTGGGATTAAATATGTACTACACAATTTAATAACTAAACCAAATATCTAAATAATATTCAGTTCCCATTTTGTTGCTTCTCAGAAGTACCTTGTCACAGACAGAATAATGAATTGGATTGAACTGAATCACAGCTCTCTCTATATCTACTCTAGTTTTCTGGGGATAATGGGTGAAGTAGTAGATTTCTCTGATTTATTTATTTATTTGTTTTTTATCAGAGAACATTTACAAACATTCTTTAAGATTATAATAGCTATTACTTATTGAGTACCTACAGAGTTATCTTACAGTAACCCTATCAGGTGGGTAGTCGTATTTTCTTAAAAATAATGAGATTGAGGATGAGAGAAGTTAAGTAGCTTTCCTCAGTGGGAAATTGGAATTAAAAACCAAGTGTTTTTAAGCTTCATTCTCATGCCATTTCTAGTGTACTGTGCTTAGGAGTTAACGTCTGCAAATAATCAAACTCATCCATTGTATTGATCTTGTTTTCTCTCCAAATTCTGAGAGGACCTTATAGCAACCTTCTACACTCTCTATTATAGCACAGTCATATTGTGAAACGTTATCCTGTGACAGAAATTCCTATTGTTCCAGTGAAAGGCAAAGGGCAGAAGCACAAGAAGATTGTGATATTTCTGAAAGAGAAAATGGAATTTGTGACTAGAAAGGCTTACTACAAGAAAATACTCTTTGGCTGAACAGTATTAATTCACCCATATGTATTTTTTTTTTTTTCCTTTTTCTCTTTTTTCGTGACGGGCAACGGGATCGCAACCCTCAGTGTCGCGCCCGTGCCTGTACCGCGACCAGCAACGGGATCGCAACCCTCGGTGTTGCTCCCGCACCTCGCTCAGCCAGTGAGCGGGGACCGGTCCGCACATGGGATCCGAACCCTCGGCGGGAGCGCCACCACGCTCCCAAGCGGCGCACTCAACGAAGTGCGCCACTGGGCCGGCCCCACCCATATGTATTAATAATAGTAGATTGTAAGGACAATAATTGAAATTCTTTCTAGAGACTTTCTATTCTGGCAGTGTGATGGACTGAGCAAATACAGACCTTTGTTTTCTGTAACCACGTAGAAAAGAGGGATAGAATACCAGAAGAAATATAACAGCTGGAAAGAAAGAAAGGGAAATCCTTAGGTGCCAAAAACTCAGAGTGATTCTCAGTGAAAATTTATATTGAAAAGGTAGGAGATTTTTATAAGCAAATGTAGTTGACTGTGTATATTTTGGGGGAGGGTGACTGTGACACTCTTAATCCTTCATCACACCAATTGTAAAGCTAGGCAACCACGCTAGTTGTCGGGCCCTTGTACCTGCCTGTAATCCTGCTGACTGGGCCAATTGTTGAACTAGGGCTGGGTCTGGAGCTCCCAGACCCCTGAAGCTCATTCACAGACTGGGTCACAAACCCTTCATATGCCAGGCTGGGTCACCAGACCCAATCACACAGGTCTGTGAGCTAGGTAACGAGCCAAAAGGTTCTTGGAGCCATAGGTTGGAAAGTATGGCCGTGCAGGGTGGACACCCGAAGCAGCATACTTTACTAAAACACTCTCTCTCTCTCTCTCTCTCTCTCTCTCTCTCTCTCACACACACACACACACACACAGAAGCAGCATACTTTACTAAAACACTCTCTCTCTCTCTCTCTCTCTCTCTCTCACACACACACACACACACACACACACACACACACACACACACACACACACAAGAATAGCAACAATAGTAAAAAGATACATTGGCATGCATGCACACTAACTCCACACACACAATTTGCTTACAAAGGATGTGCTAAAACCACACCCAACTGTACCTGAGGTGAGGGCCCTGACCAAACTATTCTATTTTCCCAACAGTGACTTTGACATTTCAAACCCAGCCCTTAAGTTGGAAGCAATTATTATAAGTTATTATAGATCTTTGGGAAAAAGTCAGAAGTTTATTCTTAAAATAGTTTTATAATTTTTCAACTTATAAATCTCTGCATTTATAACTTGCCTCTTTTATTCCTTCTAGGTATAGATGCAGATTAAGAATAGAAGAATCTCAGCTGAGAAATAGACACTAAGAAAAGAACAAAATAGAAGTTCTATAATTGAAACAGACATTCTATTAGTATCTCATTACAGTTCGAATTTCACTGATTACCTATGAGATTGAAAATCTATTGTTATATCTATTATCAGTTTTGAATGCCAGTTCAAGTCTTTTTCTCATTTTTCTATTGGGTTATTATTTTTCTTATTGATGTAGAAGAATTCTTTATATATTATGCAATCAATAATGTAGGTATTAAGCATTTTCTCTTACTCTGTGATTTACCTTTTCACTTAGAGTCCTTTGATGAAAAGATGTTCTATAGTTTAATGTTGTTTTATTGATTCATTTTTTCCTTTATAAGTTAGTACTTTTTGCCTACCTCTAATTCAAAAGATATTCTGTGTATTCTAGCAGTTTATAGTGTTATCTAAGACATTTAGGTCTATAATCCATCTGGAATTGGTCTGTGTATATGATATAAGGTTAAAGGTCAAAAATTTTTCCAAGGTGGTAGTTTAAGTTCTCCTATAGCTACTTTTATTTGTGTTGTTTTGTGTATATGTTTTTCAGTAAAAAAGAGAGACTCTTGTAGTCACTATACATTCCAGAATAAAGAACAATTAAACCAATACTGAAACCAGATCAGAATAGACTATAAATTGGTCTTAATGTTTATGTCATGTAAATTATTTAAAACATTCAGTGTAAAATACTTTTGCTTAAAATTATTTTCCACTCATTTCATCAGAGCTTGAATAACTACAAAAGCTTTTAGCAACTAGCCTCAAGAGATTACTCTGATTTCAGAAAATAGCAAAAAAAACCAACGCCAGTGAGTGACGGTAAAGCGATTTCTTGCTAACCCAACTTACTGGGAATGATAGAAAGTACTCACTTTATCACATAGTTTTAACAGTTACACAGCATGGGCTGTGAGTGGATGTCACCTCTTCATTTAGCTTCATGTACAACAAAAACACTATCTAAAATTCTCAGACCAATCTATTACCTAAAGGTTAATAAAACAAAAATAATAGCAGAAAGGAAGAAAAAATAAAGAATAAATGGTTTTAATCAAACCAGTGCACTTTTTTTATACTAAAATATCACAAGTGCTAAAAATCTCTGGGAGCGTTTTTTTCTCTTTTTTCCTTTAACATAGCTATAATTGTTGCTTTTAAATCCTTGTGTGTTATTTCCAGTATCTTGGGTCATCTTGGGGTCGACTCTCATTCATTGCCCTTTCTCTTGATCATGGATTACACTTTCTTGATTGTTCATGTCTAGTAATTTTAGAATGTATTGTGAGCATTGTGCATGATATGTTGTAGGATCTCTTGATTCTTTTATATTGCTCTAAGAAGTTTTTTGATTTTATTTTTTAAATCAACCACTTAACTTGACTGATCTCAAACTCATAATTCTGTTCCTCTGTGGTGGCGAGCAGCTGAGTTCTTTTAGCTTAGCTTGGCTGCTTGAAGGACTTCAATATATACTCTATACATGCGTAATTCAGGATCAGCCAGACATTTGGACAGACCCCATTAAACATAGGTCCCTCTCTGACTCTCATCTTTCTGTGATTACCTTGTCTGCTTTCCAGATGCTGAATCCACTCCAAACACTCTCCTTTGGTTCTTCAAGCCAGGGAGACTATAAGTTTTGAGCATTTTTGTTTCCTTTTGTGGCACCAGGTGGGGCCTTCCCTCAGGCTAAAACTTGTATAAAAGACAAAACAAAACTGGAAACTCATACAGTGCTTTTTTCTTCTTCCAAGTGTGGTATACCCCTCTCCTGCTATTTTTGCCTGCTTTTATTCTGTCTATACTGACTTCATATTGCTGGGGTTTGTTTGTTTTTGTCTAGAGTTTATAATTACATGTGGGAAGGTTGGTTTGATAAGAGCTGCTTGATCATCACTGGAAGCAGAGTCTAAACTTTAAATTTAAATGAAGATACCTTGCTCTAATATTTTATCTTCTTTGTACCTTAGGTACTCTCTTAGTGGCATGATTTTACCAACTTTTAAAGAATGGATCCAAAATACCCTTGGAGTAAGTCTGGAGCATAAAACTACCTCTAAAGTAAGCTAATATGAATGATTACTAACATGCTTAACTATGTTTTTTATTCCAAATTAATTAGATTTATCTTTGTAACTTGTGTATTTGCTTTAAGGCAATTCTCTCTCTCTCTCTCTCTCTTTTTTTTTTTTATGAATCCTACTAGTTATATTGGCTTTGTTAGGTTTCTAAGGGCAATTTTCAGTTTTTTAGTGTCACAGATCTAGATCCTAATCTCAGAATTTATCTGAGATTTATCTGGCAAATATTGTATCCTCTCTGAACCTTGGTCATTTTAATTTGAAAAGTGGGACTAATAACTGTCTGTTCTACCTCTCACAGGGCAGTAGTGAAGTGCAAATTAATACTGTGAGAGCACTTTGTTAAAAAATATAATTGCTGTTATTTTTAGATTATTTAGTAGACTGATGTAATCTAGGATTAATATGAATACAACAAACCCTGAATACAGGTTTGAACTGCACGGATCCATTTATATGTAGATTTTTTCAATAAATATATCGGAAAACTTTTGGTTAGGTATGTCATGACAGTTAAATAGCCTGCCTAACAGTAGGCTATTTAAAGTAATAAAGTAATTAAGTACTTAACTACTACTTAAGTAGAAATTCTGTCTGATACACCCCCTTCCCCCCATGCAAAGGAGCGACCTGGGTGGGGTGGGGGAAGTTATATTCGGATTTTTGATTGCTCCGGGGGGGGTGGGCTTAGCACCCCTAATCCCCCCATGTTGTTCAAGGGTCAACTGTAACTTAAAATAAAAATGTAATGGTAGAATATTTAATGTTAAATATTTAGAATATTTGAAGAATTACGGAAAAGTAAAAATTTGATTAAGACATGAGTGATAAAGAATTTTAGTTTGTTCATGTAGTTTTACTTTTCTGAGATTCGAAAACTTTAGACTATATATATATAAAAACTAATGGAGTATTTAATGTTTCTTTATATTGCTGTTATTTTGATTTTTTCATTTTTATTTTGCTATAGCATGGTGTTCTTCATGTCTCTCCCACTGGATATAAATTCCATAAGTAAAGGGGCTGTATCTTACACTGTATTCTCCACAGTATCCAACATGTTATTAAGCAGTGGAGAGGTATTCAGGCTGGTCTGATGGTAGTGGATTATCAATTTACTAACATTAGTGTCACTAAAGTTGGTATACAACCTCCCCCCACTGCTAAATTGGGTGGCTTAAAAAAAAAAAAAGGGGGTAGGTCTTCAGTGAGTGCATTTTAGATTATTTATAAATACATAATTACTTTATTCTAGTAATTAAATTAGGTTGACCAACTAATTCTTACCCCTTCCTAACCAAATTCTTTTAACTTTTCTTCAAGGTCTCTCTTTTTATCTCTTAAATTCTTTCTCTCTCTTGACTATTTGTAGTTACTTGTTTCAGACATTGATACAAGCCACATACTATAATCAGAAATTTCACCAGTTTAAGATGCACTTTCTTCTGCATTTGTTTCCAATTTTTAATAACTTAAAATATTAATTCTATGTTTTGTTGCAGTTCTTTTGATCATTTCCTTTCACTATAGGTCTGAGAACACAGAAAAAAACACAAAGTGCTTTCGCTGTCCTCTTACTCAGCAACAATCAACACAGAAGACTTCTGTGGCCAAAAGTGTGGGATTTCCCCCCCACCCCCCAAGCAGTTCTGCAGTGGACACCAGCTGGGTGTTTCCTCATTCCAATCCAATACTATCTACCTAGAGGTGGCATCACCTCCCACAGGTTGAGGACTCAGTTACACAAGACAGCCCCACTTAGGATGGCCAGTAGCAAATCTGGGCCTCTGGAACTTCTGACCAACTGCCTATAAATCAGGGTTACCACACCCTCCTCCTTGGGTTCAGTTAATTTTCTAGAGTGCCTCACAGAACTCAAGGAAATATATGCTTGTATTTAACCATTTATTATGAAGGATATTACAAAGGATACAGATAAAGAGATGCATAGGGCGAGGTATGGGGGAAGGGGTGTGGAGCTTCCATGCCCTCCCCGGAGCATCACTCTCCAGGAATCTTCATGTGTTCAGTTATCTGGAAGCTCTTTAAACCCTGTACTCTATGGTTTTTATGGAATCTTCATTAAAAAGGCATTATTGAACCATGAACAGCTGTGTAGAAATGTGATTGGTCAAAAAAGATTTGATCTAATGCTAATACAATGAGTGGGGAAACCCAGCAAGCCTGTTCAGATTCTTCTTGGCCTCTCTTTGCAGCATTCCTTCTTCCCAGGCATGGGGCAGGACCCCTCCTGAAATGGGGATCTGTCTTACCCATCTACAGTCAGACAAAGTAGGCCAGAGAATTTGCTTATGGCTGGCTCCAAGACAGAAAAGCAGGGGAAGATTAGAATTCTGCCCTAGGGAGCCAGGAACCATGGATGAAAACCAATATATATGTATCATAATGTCACAATAGGATCTATTCCATAGGGTCAAGATTTTTTTTTTTTCTGTTTAACTCAGTGCTATATCCACAGGACCTCAAACAAAAAGTGCTTAGCTTATAGCAGGCACTCAGTAAATATTATGTGAATGAATACATTACCTTAATAAGAGACTAAGAGAATATAGAAGTATCATATTTTTCTTTACGTATTCTTATACTTTCTTTTTTCCAAATACTATATCATAGCTTTTTTTTTTCATAGTAGATTTGATTTAACCAGCCATTTATAGCTCTCTTTGTAAATGCTACGCATGCTGTTAGGTGCTGTTCACAAAAATTACCACATTTAACCTGCCTTCTTTATAGTAGCTCTATACATTTGGTGGTGATAATCTCATTTAACAGATGAAGAATTCAGGACTCACAGAAGTTGGGTGACATGCCCTATGTCACATAGTTTTTTTTTTTTCTTTTAATTTTTTTTTGTTTCATCAGTTTTATTGGTCATATATCCAGATTTTATTATATAAATCTTTCAAAATAACAAGATATTACAAGAATAGTTTACAAGTCAGCTCTGACTGCAGAAACACTTGACATAGGAAACCATTTTTACAAATACATATGTTTACTTATAAGAATACCTTAATAAAAAAAATAAGTCTTTATACATCTTATAGCACACTTTATGCAGTTTCTTTTTCCTATTCAGTCATCATTTTGGGTTTTCTATTATAGCATGTCAATCACATCCAATAAACCACATTACAATCTGTTGCTTCTTCTCATGGAGATTCACACTGTTATAGAGTTTTTAGGCTTTCTTTTCTTTTTTTTTTTTTTTTCCTTTTTTGTCTCTTTTACTGACCGGTAACGGGATCGCAACCCTCGGTGT